CTTTCCCTATGGAGGGCTTGAGTCTTGCTAATTACATAAAATGTGCAATTGTGCGTGTATATCATTGCTTCTCCAAGCCTGTTACATAAAATGTGTATTTGTTATATTTCTTTTCTTTTCTTTTTTTTGTGTGTGTGGAAAATGCCAAGTTTTGGATTCTAATAGTAGTGAATAACATATTTAATACAATCATGTTAATAAATAACATTTTTAATTCTAAACGAAGCTTTTTAAGGATAAAAAATGAACTTATTAAAATTTAGAAGCATCCACAGTAGAATTTCTCAAGAAAGAAAGGGGGAAAAAGTAGTCTAAGATATACGGATATCATGCTATACACACTGGACAAGGATGTGATCATGAAGGATTTCTGACATATTTTTATTGTAACTAAGCAATCTGCTCTAGAATTGCTATATATGATTTAAGGAGCATAATTTGAGTTTAGAAAGTTCACATAATTAGTTGATCAAGAAACTGATTGCTGAAGGGCAGCTTTATGGCTCCAGATGCAACCAAAAGTGACAAAGTCCAAATTGGTAGTAACCAGATAAACGTTACCTTCAGAATTTTTTTGCCTGCAAAATTTAAGTGGGATTTCAAAAGAAAAAAACACATTACAGAGTAAGCATTCTAAAAGAGTGAATTAAAATGGTATAAAGAAGAGAATAAAATATTTGTTTGGCTGAAGTTTTATTCAAAATCATTAAAGTAACATGATGTTTTATTTTTCCTTTTTTTGTTTTTATGAGCTTGATATTGCTTTTCTGGCTTCTGCCCTCGACGACACTGTAAGTTGCGATGTACGTGATACTTTCTATTTTTGAAATTTAATGGAAATTAACGATTAGATTACTATTGCAGCTAAAAATTAAGTTCATGAAGATTTTATATATATAAAATAAGACCGGGGACCAAGTTGTTACAAACGAAATCTTTACCTGACAAACGAAATCTTTTCTCTGTTCGATCAGTCATCCACTCCCCGACCTCACGAAGTTGCTTCTGCAATGACCCTTCGAACTTGTCTGGAAAACTCATCGTTGACATGTCAAATTTCGCATCCTTTTCCTCTTCCAAGTCCCTGATGATCAATTTTTATTTACCCGAAACATAAATAAATTTATTAAACAATATAAAATTCAGAGTACAAAGACATGAAGCGAAGCTTAAATGGCTAGTTTCAAGTAAATAATACTTTCTATTTCTAGTACATAATAATAGTTTAAGAAATATTATAATGTATTAAGAGATATGATTTGTGTGATGAAGGCCTTGTGTCATATTAGGGAAACATGAGAGAGGAACATGCCTGGGGTCAGCATCCCGGAAGCGGCCGGCACCGATGGCGCGCTCGATTTCGATGACAGAAGGCTGCCTTGGCTTGTGGTGGTGGTGGTGATGATGCTTCTTCTGCTTCTTATTGTTTTGTTTTGTTAAATCGGTGGGAGGCTTGAGAGGAGTAGTAGTATTGGTTTGGAGTAGGGAATTAGGTGGTGGTGAATCATTATTGGTGTTGGGATTTGAATTGTTAGTGGTCATGTAAACACAGCAAGATAAGCAAGACATGGTGATGGTGGTATCTTCTCTAACTGTGTTGGCTCTGAAAGCCAACAGAAATGCTTCTATCTATGAACGGATAAGCCTTTAGGAAAGGGGACGAAATATCTAAGCATATAGTAAGAGACACAAAACAGAAACTCTTTTGCTAAATTTTGCCCAACTTTGTTTTTTATCATCTATGATGTTGACAAGTATAGATAAATTTTTGGGATGAGTTTTACTGTTCTAGTAACTTATGGTGTGGAAAATGCAGAAAAGATCTTGTTTTACTTTTCTTATCCACTTTCGAAATTTAAAAATACTTTTATTTTCATTTACGGGTTACACAACGAGGGATAACCTTGAGTTCACTTGCAATTCACACAAACTCTAATCTACCATCAAAGGAATTTTTTTCCCCCCCTCAAAAATGAAGTTGGGCTTCAATAATAAGTCCATGATCTCGATATAAGGAGACTATTACAGCCTCATTTATTTCGCTGGGTTTAAGTTTTTAACTCAACTTAAAAAATAAATTTATGTGAGAAAAAATACTGCAACATAAAAAATTAAATTTAAATTTTTATAAGAGAAAACACTATAACAAAAAACTGAATTATGATTCGAACTAACAAAACAAATGAGACCTGGTGTAACTACTCAGCATCTGAGGAGATATTGGACCTCTACCAAACATTAACAGTTAACTCTTAATTTATGTCTAACTTCCTAACCCTTAAGTAAATCACTGAGTTACTCAATGGCTAACTAATTAACTTTAATTAATCAATGATTAACTCTAGTTAATAAATAATTACAGTTAATCAATGATAACCATATCTGGTTGTTTCGGTAAAATTGTCGTTTTATTCATTAAAAATGATTTGTTTCAAACATTTCTTCAGAAGTTCTAGAATTAAATAACATTATCACAGAAGTGGTATTTTTCTAATTAATTAATTTGGACTTATGCCTGATTCAGATTATGAATTTTCGGTTTGGATTAGATTTCCATCTTGTATACTATTATTGTCATTGTCTACTAATATATAAATAAAGGGAAGTTATATACTCTATTATTTTATTAATGCACCCCATTTTTAAAAGAGTATACTTTTATTACAATTGTACCCCTTACCCAATGCGTCCCTTTACCCAAATGCGTTTAATGTGGTGAAAATGTGGTTTCACCACTAGTACACGATACACCCGCAAGCAATTACTGGTCTGTTTAGTATAAAGATTCAAATTAAAATATTTAAATTTTAGAATTAGAATCATAATTTATGGTTTGAACCTTAAATTATAATTATTAGAATTTTTGTTTGGATGTGTATAAGCTAGTATTTAGTTTGAACTAGAAATGTGATCCCAACTTGTGTTTGGTTGTCTTGTTCTCTAAATTTGAGCCATAACCAATACAAGAACCAACATTTGACCGTGTAACACATGTTTAGGTGTAATTAAAGAAATATAATTCCTTATATAATAAAAAGCAACGAAATATTAGAAAAAAAAAATTATAACTCTAACATTATAATAAGTTAAAAGAGAAATAAAGGGAAAAAAAATGTACACAGAGCCAAAAAGAAGGCCAAAAATTGTCAGAAAGTCATGGAAAAAAAAATGGTTAACATGATACAAGCGTACGTAACAAACGTCAAAAATATTTTCTGAATCCTTTTGTTCCTTTCAAAAGTAGCATGGGCAGCAATAGAAACATGGCTCTTCAGTTAGTCCCAAAGACAAGTCCTGTTAAAATTAGTTGAGCAAAATATATATAATTTACAAGATACAGTCTACAGTCCATCCAATTCTTCTGCATTTTCAGACTACTATGCTTCAGCTCAGCGCCAGCAAAAAGGTCCTCCCATTATCAATCACTACACATTCAGGGAACAAGGGAAAGCCTTTGCGAACTGTAGACAAAACAAGAACAAAGAATACTAAGTTAAACTAGTAAGGGTTGTTGCTTTGATGAATTTCGTGTGATTCTCATGTGAATAACTGAGAGCATAATGGAAAGAAAAGGAGGAAGTTCATGAAAAGTTTATTGGAAAGCAGAGACTTCCCTACAAACAAGACCAGCAAGAAGAGCAAACATAACAATTGCTTCCGCGTAAGGCATATATGCTAGCCACAAAATAAAGTTAATTTAACTCCACAAGTAATATGGACATAATCCCATGGCCCTGAAAAATAACATAAACACTGCGCTACCATGATATAACAACTTCAACACTGGTCATAACTTATGTCTTATAAGATGAATTAAGTAGATGCTTTTTTTGCTTCCCATCTAGAGTTGTTAGTACCCAACCTTAAAAGAAAACGTAGGGATCAAGAATATAGTTAAGCAAAGAACAAGATTTTTATGTTGCAATAGAAAAATATGAAATCATTACGTTACGAAGAAAACATCAAAAATACCTTTGCTACCATACAGGCCTTCCTTCTTCCCCCGTTTCTTATCCTTCTCCTGCTCATTGTTGGCTATAAAGATTAGGAACCTGATAAGGATTAGTTCTGAGATGGCTGGCTATAAGGATTAGGAACTTGATACACAAAAGGAGTTTGTGGCACTTCAACAAAGTCATTTAAGAATGCCCTCCTCACGGCATCACCCAATTTTCCCCAAACTGGCCGCCACGTAGTAGAAGCCATTATTTTGTCGAACGCATGGGCTTGCGTACGCGGGTCAATTCCCATTTCCGCAAGCGACGATAAGATGATATCCGCTTCACTTGGTCCGTTGACGGTGTTGTTACTCGGCAGGCTCTCTTTGCTTGAACAAATGTCTTCTCGCATGTCCCTAACCATTTCAAGCAGCTCCTCCCGTGAACTATCATTGGATTTGCGTGACCTTGACTATTTCTTTCAAATCACTCGTGAAGATGAGGCGACATTGGTCACATTTCACCTTCCAAAACGTTCCACGCGGTTGCCAAGCTCATTACGAACCTCCTCATCATCACTATTTTGAAAGGGAGCATTTTGGTAGGGTTGTGGTTGTTCATCCCCAGCAGCAACATCGTCAAAGGGTACACCTTCCACTGGATCTTCTTTCACGGCAGGGTGATATGCACCTAAACCGGAAGCCACAACTCTACTAGGAAAAATGGCGGCCAAGTACATCTCATTAGGGCTGGCAATTCAGGTAGCGACACGACTCGAAACCCGCATGAAATTAGCGGGTTTGAGTTTATCATAAATAGGTTCAGGTCAAAATCAGGTCGAACCCGCAAAACACGATTAAATAACGTGTCATTTTCAGGTTGACCCGCCAACCCGCAATTGACCCGCGATAACCCGTTTATTAAATGTGTCATATTTGGGTAACACGATTATATAACCCGTTTGGTACCCGTTTATTACCTAGGTTAAAAATGTTTCAGTATTTATATGTTTCTAATCTCCCAGCCGCAGCCCAACATTCCAACCAAAGTCCAAACCCTATTCTCCTCTTTAGTCTCGACTCACTCTCTGACCTCTTTCTCGACTCTCACTCTCTGACCTCTCTCTCGACTCTCCTCTCCTTCGGCTTCCACTCTCTCTCAACTCTCCTCTCCGCCGCCTGAGCTCTCAGTCCACCGGAGGACCACCGCTTCTCTCAGTCCAGACCCACTCACCCTCGCCCTCACCCACCCTCGCCGCTTCTTCTTCTTCTTCTTCTTCTTTCCTCTCTGCCTCATTCTTTCTGGACTCTCCACTCTCTCCCGTCAGATTCGACCTTGGGGAGGCAGGGGAACAGATTCGGTCCCTATTCTTCTCATTCTTCGTCAAAATCGGCCTTGGGGAGCAGATTCTTTGCTTGGGGAACGGATTCGGTCTTCTTCTTCGACAGGTATTTCCCCCATCCATTTTTTGTTTTTGTTTTGATGATTTGAGCTATGGTTGTTGTTTTTATTTGTTATTTTATCTGTATTCACTTTGAGATTGATGGCAAAGATGAGCTATGAGCTATATTAACCTAAATCGGTTCATACAAGCAATCTGTAACCTAAATCGGTTCACTTTGTTTTTATTTTATCTGTAATTTTGTATCATACAAGCAATATAGGGCAGATTAATGTTTAATTAGTTGGGACAAGGCAATATAGGGCGGATTCGGCCCTCGACAGGTGTTTCCCGTCCATTTTTTGTTTTTGTTTTGATGATTTGAGCTGTGGTTGTTGTTGTTTTTGTTTTTATTTGTTCTTTTGATGATTTGTTATTTTAGTTTGACTGGTATTTGATGGTACTTAGTTAACTTTGAGAAGCTGCATATGCTTAGGTTGAAAAAATTAATAAAAGCTAAAACCAAGAGAAATTTTTCAAAATGTAGCAGTTCAAAAGCCAAATCCAACTATATCTTCCTCCATTTCCCTTTGTTTTCCTCTGATACATTATTATCGTTACTCTCTCCCTCTCTCTCTCTATCTCTCTCTCTATATATATGTATATATATGTATATATATGTATAGTGCTGAAACTTTAGACAGGCCGCCCGTGACCACCGAAAAGTCTAAATTTTTGCCCGATGACCAAACCCGAAATGCCCGAAAATTTGGGCTGCCCGACCCGACCCGAACATTGCCCATGGACGGGCTTCGGGCAGAGGATGCCTGCCCGTGCCTGGTCGGGCTGCCCGATGCCCGACCGGCTGCCCGATTTTTTTTTT